CCCCCCCCCAGCTTGGGACTGAGTGACACTTAATTCATTGTTAAGATGAATAGGAATTGTATTGGACCCATGCTCAAATTAGCTGAACATAATTTCTACAGAAGTCAGTTTACTTCATTGATTTCAAGGGGTCTAAGTTGAATGAACTGAGTTTGGATCCATCTATATGTGCCTTTAATCTGAGGGCTACATTAAACGGAGGTCTCATAGTGTCACTCAAGTCTTTTCTCTTTAGGCTGTCATCCATCAAGAATTTATTCAGGGTTCTCTCTCAGAATTCCTAAATCACTACCAGGTTCCTGCACCTTCTTTTTTTGCAGAGTCTTTCCCAGCCCTTATGTATGTCTGGATGACTGGCGGGCTTCGTCCTTTCCAGGTCCTGCAGGTCCCTCAACTATTTATTTGAAAATTCCAGTTCTCGCCCACAACAATTTTCCAGTTGTAGTTCTCACCCATGCTGTAGCTTTACTCCTTAGTAACTAATAGTCTCACAACGATTCCTTGTCTTGTCCTGCTCAGCCAGACCTAAAGGCTGTTTGTATTCTGTCCCTGGCAGAAGGCACTTAACCTCCTCCTAAAGCACTCGGCAGATGTCAATGCTCGTGACAAGTATTGGCAAACACCGCTCCACGTTGCAGCTGCCAACAGAGCCACCAAGTGTGCTGAGGCCATCGTCCCCCTGCTTAGTAGCATTAATGTGGCGGACCGCACCGGTCGCACAGCACTGCACCATGCTGTACACAGTGGGCACATAGAGGTAAGCCATGGCGTGCTTCTCTCCATTAAGGGTTTGTATGCATGTGATTACTGGCAAAGGAGGATAAGCAGTGAAGGGCAGGGGCTTTCATTAGAGGGGGAAAAGCTGCTTTTGTTGAAGTAATTTGCATCAAGAACCGGATGGGATGAGTGTAGTATGACCTATCTGATTGCCAAAGCAAGGTAAATTCATGTCCTGCATTCTTTTGAACTGCAACTCCCAGAAACCCCAGCCAGCACAGTTGGTGGTGAAGGCTTCTGGGAGTTGCAGTCCAAAACTCCTGAGTAAGCCAAGGTTAAGAACCTGTGACCTGTCTGATTGCCAAAACAAGGTAAATTCATGTCCTCCATTGCCTACTGAAATTAACTTTTATAATAAGTGAAGCCTTGCACAGTGAAGCCAAGGACACCTTTCCCTTTTGTACACCCTCTTTGAGGCACAACACCATCAAGAAGTCCTCAATTGGTTTCTCTCATGTGCTCCGCAATGTATAGATGGGATGTGGATTGCATGAGAAGCCATGTAACATAAGCTGTAGTCTTCCAGAGAGATAGATTTTGCTTCCTCGGCACTTCAGAGGGCAGTGAGCACCAATGAAATTGGCAGATTTTTTTATTTTGGCACAACATTACATTTTTAGTTTCTGGATCCCTTTCTTCTCTACCTCTTTCTAGATGGTAAACCTGCTCTTAAATAAAGGGGCCAATCTGAGCACATGTGACAAGAAGGAGAGACAGCCAATACATTGGGCAGCCTTCCTTGGTAAGTCTTCTTCTGTGTTTAGGCATTCTGGTATGTACCATCTTTTAATATACATGAACCTTCAAGGAGGAGCTTGTGTGTAAAAGAACATAGAGTTCTGGATGTGTATCTGGCAAAGAGGAGGAAATATGTGAGTTCTGCTGTGGAGTGTCGTGAATACGAATATTAGTTTTCAGCCAGGAAACATTCAAATTTCACATTTCCCCGAACATTGAACACAGATCTTGATATTGGACAGAGTGGAAAGTAGTATAGCAGAAGCTCATTCTGCTTGTCCTTTTCTTGGCCTTGTTATATGCCCCCCCGCCCCAACAATCTGATACAGGGAATAGTTCATAGAATCAGAATTGTAGAGCTGGAAGGGATCCCTAGTGTCGTTGAGCCTAGCTGCCTGCAGAATCAGGAAGTCCACCACTGGAGCAACCCTGATATATGTCCATTCAACCTTTCCTTAATAACTTGCAGCTGTTACTTTCAGAACATTTTTCCTAATGTCTACTCAGAATTGTATTTCTTGTAATTTACTTCAAGTCCTTCCCTCTGGAGCTGGAGGAAACAAGCTTGCTCCCTCTTCTAAATGGCAGTCCTTCAAATATTTGAAGGTGGCTATCATGTCAGCAGTCTTCTCTAGGCAAACCATGCCCAGTTTTCTCAACTATTCTTCATAGAGCCTGGTTTCCCAACCTTTTATCATTCTGGTCATTCTCCTGCAGTCACATTCCAGTTCCTCAATATCCTTATATCGTGGTGTCCAAAGCTGGACTAATATTCCAGCTGAAGTATGACCAAAGCACAGTAAAACAATGCTATTGCTTCTGATGATGATTTACTAAGGCATCTAGATTTTTTTCACAAGTAATACATGCAGTAATCATCTACATGAGGCTTCTGTCCACTTCCCCAATGTGTTTAGCCTAGAGATGAGCATGAAATACTGATTCAGCAGTTCATGCCAGTTCAGCTGACAACTCAACAGGTGTCCCGCAGTTCAGTGCCCTGCTTCCTCTGGTGGTTACCCATCAGAGGCTACTCCTAAAGGAGGTGGGGCAGGGAAGTTGGAATGCGCTCTCCAAATGGACACTCGCCAGACAGGGTGGGCCTCTGAACCATGGAAGACCTGTTGGCCCATCAGCTGAACTGGGTGTTCATGCCCGTCTCTAGTTTATCCTAAGTAAATGTAAATAAGACCATGCCAGAAATGGCAAGTTCCTAGTGGCACATACACTCTCTTGATATTTGCATTCTAAAGTATCTCCCCAAGGAAGAGGGGAATGGAAAAAAACAGCCGTTTACATTAACTACCAGGAGCAGGGGCTAATCCAAAGCCAGGAAGGGAAAGCCTGATTTTTGAGGGTACCCCATCTAAGCAGGAGCCCAGTATGACTAACCTTGTGGTGCTGCCGAGGTCAGTCTTCCCTGTGATAATTTGAAAAGTGGGTGGAATAACTCTAGGCACCATTTTAAACCTGGTTTGTTTGCTATTAGGAAAGATTGGGATGTCAAAACACACCGAGAAGTTGTTGCTCTTACTAATGTGATTAGTACAGATCTCCTGGTTGAAAAGTTTGCATTTTAATTCCCCATCCAGGGAAGTATCCTCTTTAGCAGTGTGCTTATTCCAGTTATAAAACTATTATTTGCAATGCACTTGCTTCCTGTTTGCAGTCAGTTATGTCTGCAGTCAGTTATGAAGCGTCACCCACCCAGAGGGAACCTAATCACACAAGCAGTAATTAAGATACATCAGCAGCTGTTAAAGTACTATCTGGATCCATTAACACCTCATTAGTCTTCTTTGCACTTCAGCTGTGAACAAAGATTTGGGAGGAGGAGGAGGCAGTACTGCTGCTTCTACATTAAGAAAGTAAGCTGGATAAACAAACTTCCATTTCATGTCTTTTCTTCATGTCAGATAGTTGTGATACAATCAGCTACAAAGCTCAAGCAGTTTCATACAGTTCAGAAGTCAGGCTTAAAAGAAGGTCTCTCTCCCACGGATGTGTGCATGTTAGGTTTTGAAGCCACAGTTCAGTGGCATTGTGTATGCACAAGGGCCTCTGATGTGATCTCCGGCATTCCCAGTAGAAGATCTTGGTTACCAGAGCCAGCAGCACTGGCAGCCTGGAATGGTGGAGGGCTATTGCCATTCACAGCAGGCATTGCTTTGCTGGAAATCAACAGTTCCACTTCAGTTAAAGCAGCTTCATAGTTCCCTCTTTTTTAAAATTAATTGGATGGTTTCTAGAAGGGTTGTTGGGATTATATTACAGAAGACGAAATCTGTACAAGAAAACAGTGGTTTGAAAGAAGTTGTAATCTATGTGGCATATTATAAATTCCAGGTTTGCAAGTAGAAGGAAGCCACAAATGGTTTTGGCTTCCTGTGTGGTGTATATGCTGCAAAGTGTACAACGTCACATACATATTTCTCTGGTGCAGTTAAGTCAGTATATATTCTTATAAACAATTCTTTTACCATAGAAAGCTGTTTGGTGTTATCAGACTACATCTACAGTTGTTTGTCTCTGCCAGGTTAGACTTGGATTAGGCATATACCATTTGTGCCATGCCTTTCCTTGCCTTTGGACTCCAAATCCTAGAATTGTCCATTCTGAGAGGTCCCTCTGCCAGATCAATACCTACATTGTGATCACCTGGAGAAAAGCTTCATAGCCTAAGATAAGCCAGTCTCTGGTCTAGGTGCCTGTTAGAATAAGAAGTGGTCCTGGTGTTTACTGAGAGCCAAGATAACTTCCTTTTTAACAGGTAGCTAGGCTGGGGGTTGGCCCTTCCTAAGCCATGAAGCCTTTCAACCAAGCCTTTCTCCAGGTAGTCACAGTCAGGTATAGGTCTGGCAGGTGGAAGTCCCAAGGTGGAGAATTTTAGGAAAAATCCAAAACAAAAGCACGTCCCTAGACCTGATCCTAAGATGGCAGAAAAGTAATAATGGGGAAGTTAATCAAGTAACCAGACACTTAATGCAGCCAGTTTGGGGCAGGTGGGTCACCGTGTTTCCTGGGGGCTCTTTGTTTCCTAATTGTTCAGTCCAAGCAGGCACCAGCCTACTAGTTTTGCACGTGTTGTTGAACTATGGCTTACACTGTATGCAAGAATCTTGTACTTCTGTAGGCTCTCTTTCTTTCTCCTGGTTGTACCCTCAAGGAGGAGATATAGGAAGCATATACTTCTCATTAAAAGCTGTGCAGAGTTCCTTGTGATATCTCATCTGAGCTGAGGGCAGCTCCGGTTAGTTTAAAAGAGGGAGGATGTTTTTCTTTGTCTCTTGCTGCTGTGCAAGAGAAAAAGGAAGAGAGAATTATGTGAGCTAAGGCTTTTGCTGGCTTATATACACAGTGCTTAACCATAGTTTAATAATGCATCTAAAATGGCTGCTTGATCTATTAACTGTGATATTAACCGTGACAGAGAGTGCAAGTGAGCTGCTGGATAATTTATTGACATGATTCTGCAGCATGACCCCCCTACACACACACATACCCATATATTCACAGGTAGCATTAATGCATACTTGCATTGTTACGTCTTGCTGTCCTTTAGTCTGAGGTACTGCTGAACTTTGATTAAGAGGACAGCAAGATTTCATACTGACAAAGATAGCATATTGGAATGAGTATGCACAATCTCATGGGACACACCCAGTGTGTTAACTTCAGTTAAGCGGTTTAGTAAGTCTGTAAGTACCATAGGCCCAAGAGCCTTCAAATATTGAGTGTCCTTCAATGTTTTATGCGTGCGCTGCCACCCAGCCAAAGTTAGAGAGAGAGCAGGAAATACTGATTTAGGCAGAATCTTAACAGGACAAATTAGCAAAATCTTGCAAGAGTCACCATGTATTTTATGAGACCAATATAGGGGGATTGCAGGGAGCGTTCTCTGATTTAGAGTACTGTGACTGAGAGAAGCTCCATTTCGAGAGCAAAACTTACGGGAAACGGCAGTCTTGTTCAAATTGCCTTTCTTTTCTGTGTTATTTTCTCCCAGGGCATTTGGAAGTCTTGAAGCTGCTTGTGGCACGAGGAGCTGACATCACATGCAAGGACAAGAAGGGTTACACCCTGCTGCACACAGCAGCCGCCAGTGGCCAGATTGAGGTTGTGAAACACCTGTTGAGGCTTGGAGTCGAGGCAAGTTCTCTGACAGACCCTGTACAGCAGAGGTGGTGGTGGTGTTGAGATGGCGCTCCTCTCTCCCCATTCTGTCTTTACTTGCACCTCCAGACATGTGCCTGAAAATACGTGCAAGCATTATTGGACAGTTTAGGCCTATTATGAGAAAACAGTGAAACAGTTCTTCCACACATTTTCATAAGGAAAAAAACATGTGAGGAGCATGCATAATTAACTTACTAGGTTGCACACATGTATTTCCTTATGAAAATGTGTGCTAGAATAGTTTCCTCATTTTGTCATAGCCTAAACTGTCTAAAATTGCAAGCCATAAGATGCCTGTGTTTATGAAAAATGTTGGGAGTAATGGAAATGGAAGTTAATTATAGCTGTTAAGGTGAATACAGATACAGAAAGGCTGTCTAACAGCTGATGTTTGTGTCTGTTACTGTATTTTTCTTTAGATTTAAAATTGGGGGTCGTCTTATACACGGAAGTAAGCTGAGGAGAGAACAAAAACAAGTGGAGGGGAAAGCAGGGATCAAAGCGATCCTGCAGCGCTTTGATCCCTTTCCTCCTACACTTGCTAAACCCCACTTAGATTTCTTAATTTTGGATTAGAAAAGTGGGGTGGCGCCTTATACATGGGGGCATCTTATACAGGGAAAATACAGTAATCCTTGCTAGAAGAAAATAGTTATGTGCATGTTGAAAAAGTAGTAGTTTGTTGTATGTTGAAGAGGTTGTGGAGTGAACAAGTCTCTTGTAGCAGATTTGGCAGCTGCTGTACTCTTCTAAATGTTTAGAAATCTTGGGCTTGCAAATACAGGTACATGTTTGCAAGGTCCGACATCTGTTTTGTCTGGGGATGATGCCAGTTCTCTGTTTTACAATGGGTTTTGAAAATTTAGCTCCTGAAGTTTTTGGAAATCTGGACCTAATTATTTGCAGAATTGTCTGATAGAATGAAAAACATTATTGCATTCGATATACAGGTACGTAGGAGCTTATTTGGTGCTATGGCAAATAGTTGCTTTTTATGTGGACTAGCAGAGTTCCTGCACTGCAAGGATAGCTACCTGCTCCTGTATTAATTTACTAACTAGGCAAAATATCATGAATGTAAAGTGTTGGTGAACAAAGTTGGTCAGGTACCAGTTTGCCCTCTCTGCTTTTTAGAACTATAGGAATTTATTTGTGTGCCAAGTAAACATACATCAAATTTCTTCTAAACATCCTCATTTCATTTCCCATTTCTTCTTGAGAGAAGCTCAAGGTGACTCACAAGATTCTCTTCATCTTCTTTTTGATTTTTATAACCACCTGATATTGAAGGAGATGCTGTCAGAACAGGGATGTTTTATTAGCCACATTGAGAATCTGCATCCACATTACAATCAGCAATTAACAACTATAGAAGAGGTGGTAATTGGAAGGTTGTTCCATAGGGGGGGGGGGGGGGCAAGAAGGCCCGGTTTCTTGTTCTTTCCCTCCAAGCCTCCATCTGGGTCAAGGCCCTCAACTGCCCTGCCTGTGAAGCATGGGTATTAAGGACAGATCTGGCTGGAAACAGGTGTTCTGATAGGTACCTAAACGTTTAGGTCTTTGAACGTTATCATCATAACCTTGAAGAGCAGCCAGAGTGGGGAGATGTGCTGGAATTTCTTCACCCCAGTTATTAATCTGGCCACCGAATTTTGGACCAGTTGAAGTCTCCGCATCAACCTCAAAGGTAGCCCCACATAGAGAGGACTCCGCGTCAGTCTCAAAGGTAGCCCCACATAAAGAGGACTTCAGTAGTCTATTCTTAAGATTATGAGGGCATGAATCATTGTTGTGAGTGTCCCATGTCTAGACAGAGACGCGGCTGGGCAATCCTCCGAAGATGGAAATGGGCTGCCCGGACCACAGATGCCACCTGGGTTTCTATGGTGAGATCCGGGTCCAGGAAGATGCCCAAGCTGCGAACCTCCTTTTTCGTGGTAAGAGTCACTCCCCGAAAGGAGAGGGAGTTTCCCAACCCACTGTTGCCAGGGCCACCCACGTGCAAGATTTCTGTCTTGTCCAGTTTCGGCCTCAGTCCGTTTGCCCTCATCCACTCCAGAACGGTCCCCAAGCAGTGTTCAAGGGTAGGAACAGCTTCCACTGCAGTAGGAAAAAAGGAGAGGTAGAGCTGGGTGTCATCAGCGTACTTCTATCACAGCGTACTGATGACACAAGGCCCCACAACTCCGGATGACCTCACCTAGCAGCCTCATATAGATATTAAATAGCATTGGTGAGATGATCAACCCCTGCGAAACCCCACAGTTGAGGATCTATGGCGTAGAAGTCATCTCGCCAAGCTGCACTCTCTCTGGGGTGGACTCAGAATTGTTTGTTCGGGCTTGTCTTATCAGTTGTTTGTACCCATACTCAGGGGTTAGTTCGGTCATTACAAAAGAGATTCCTTTGCATGGCCATGCTGTTTTACATTGACCTTTCTTTCAGACTTGGTTGGACAGCTGTCTAATTACCAGTGACTTTTAGTAAACTGCTGTCCAAGCCTCATTTCTGAAGTACACTGTACCTTTTCAGGGTTGCATTTTCTACAGTCCCCTTAATTATCTAAGCACTCTAATACATACAACATTTCAGCAAAGTCTGGGGCAAAGGATGGCTGAAAGTTTTACCTGAGAGAGCTGCTTTTTCCTCATCTCATCTGTATATGACTTCTCAGGGAAAAAAAACCCTGTAGAGTTTAGTGGGATGGTCTCCCAGATAGATTGCTAGAAGCCTGAGAACACAACTCCCTTCTCTGCACTGTTGCCAGCCTTGTGAGAAATACTAGAAGTCTCTCCTCCCAACGGAGGGTGAAGGTGTTATGTGGAACCCTCCAAGATGGAGATTAAAAATCACGAAACAACTTGTGATAGAAGTTATGAAGAGTTGGTAGAATGTGTGCTATAGCATTGTGTTTGAAAGTTGAGATGTAAAAATAAGACTGTAATCTAAAACACCCTTTCGTGGAAGTATGTATTATTGAACTTGGGTTTATGTTTGAGTCGATGTATATAGATGTGCAGTGTAATCTTCTTACTACTTTATCTGTACAGATCAGGCAAAGGCAAGCTACCTAGGGTCATGGTTCTTTTTTATTTATTTTTAAAGCCATTATTACTAGCAAATTATACATAAGGTTTCATTAATAAAATAACCCCACAATCAGCCCACATGAAGAAATCAAAAGATTGCAGAGAAGGTTAGTTCATTGTGATCAATTGAATAGGTATTTCTGTAGATCAACACAGGATGCAGGAGAAGTATCCTCTTTGTTTGAGTTTATCCTCAGTGCCAAGATCCCTTCTTCACAGAGCCTGGCCTTCAATAAGTTCTGTTTACCAGATGTTGACACACAGTGAGATGTAGTACAGTAATATTGTTCATGCTCTTCCAGTGGTCTTCAATAACCAAACTGGCAGATTAGCAGAAAATAGAGATTAGCTAATGTAATACATTTGCATTTTCCCCTTAAGACAATGTCAGCAAATCAGGAGAGAGGCTAATTACATTTTTTATTTGTAATTCTCCCATTACCTTAAAAAAATGGAAAAAAAATTGATCCATGGGCACAACTACTACATGTGGTGATATGAGCTGTAACCCTGACAGCGTCGCCAGCACTTGCGGCAACTTATGATATCAATTTCATTTAAATTTCTGGATGTTGTATATCACCGGTGTATTAATTTGTAATTATGTTCCCTGAACTTGATTGATATGCTCTGAAATACTGATTTATTCTGCACTGGCTCTCACATGTCATTCTCAATGCTGGTTTCCAGATCACTTTCCAAAGTCATTTTGAACCCCTCCTTAAGGTCATATGATACCAAAATAAGAACGTTATATAATTGGGATGCTAAGCCCACTTTCTGGCCCTGGGCTGATCTTATCAAAGCTTCAAAGGGAAGAATCTGTTGATACATTAAAAAGACCCTATTTTTAAATTTGCAGCGCTATTATTTTACAAAGCAGTTTGTAGAGTAATCCAAACAGAACCTTAGAAAACTTCAAAAAAGGATGTGGCAGATCTATGAAGAAGAGGGGGAGGGCCTTAGAGTTACAGACTATAATAACTAAAATAGAACGTTGGCCTTTTCTGTAGTATGTCTCTTAATCCCAAATACCTGGGGACTAACAACAGGAGAAGACAGAAAGCTTCATGTTCTCCTTATGGATTTCCCAGTGGGTTGGCTGTTTTGGAAATGCTCCACGGTTCTCATCATGTTTAGCTCTTGAAATCCATTAAAAAAAATAAAAAGTCTCTGCTTTGAGAAATTTTCTGTCCAAACATTGACAGCAGCAAAGGCAACAATGAGGAGAGAAGGGAGACAGCACAAGCAGTGGGAGGAGATGTTGTTTTGACCTTGGGTTCTTTTATGTGCTTCCTCCTTCTGTCTCTGTCAGAATAAGGGAGTTTATGGTAAAGGCCAAATTTCAGGAATGCACTTGAGTGGTGGTGGAGGACTGTGACCTCCATTTTGTTGGATACCTGTTCCTGTTAGCCATAACCAGTATAATTAGTGTTCCAGGATGTTGGAAGGATCATAAATTCCCAGCTCTTGATTTGGAGGCAGGTGGGGGTATTTAATGAAGACCTTTAATTTGTGCACATCTAGTGCTGTAGCAAGGGGAAAGCTGTGTCTAACATTTTGACTCAGTCACATAGTTCAATGCTGCTCTCATATTTTACATGAAATTGGTCAAAAACCTGGTACCTGGTGTAATAAATTGCATTAGAGTAGCCCATTGAATCACGGCGGATGTGATGAGTCAGTTCCCTGAAAGTTCTGTTGATTCAATCGGGCCTACTCTTAAGTGCAACTTACTGTAGCATAGGCAAGTCTCTGTTTACATTGGCCATTGTTTGTAGACTTGTGTGTTTCAAATGTTTATGTTTCCATTTGTTTATTCATGCTACCTTGCGAGGGTTTTCAAGGTGGGATATAAATCCTCTGAATCAATGAAGACAGGTTAATGTGAGCTTTTCTGGAAGAGAGGACAGACTTGAGCGGAATAGCTTGGTCTGTCAAGCAGCCATTGAATGTTTGACCAGAGGCACTTGGGTCTGGTGAGTGTTGGTTGCTTCCTTCTCTGACCAGGTCCTCTCTCAGTCTCTCATATGGCTCACCAAAATGCTGTATGCAAATGTTTGTTATTGTAGATTGATGAACCAAATTCCTTTGGCAACACTGCACTTCACATTGCCTGTTACATGGGCCAGGATGCCGTGGCCAACGAACTGGTTAACTACGGCGCCAATGTCAATCAGCCCAATGAGAAGGGCTTCACCCCCCTGCACTTTGCTGCTGTCTCCACCAACGGAGCCCTGTGCCTGGAACTTCTCGTCAATAACGGAGCAGACGTGAACTTTCAGGTATGTCCAGTTGAGTTGGATTCGGTCGGCCTGGAGACAAGCAGGTGGAAATGAAAACCGCTTTCACTTCCCAGTGGGATTTAATTGGGGGGGTGGGGGTGGGATAAAAGCTGCTTTTTATTATAGGTGGTGGAGGAGGCATGCATATGGGCTAACTTGCTTTTGTCTTTACAGAGTAAAGAAGGGAAGAGCCCTTTGCACATGGCTGCCATTCACGGACGGTTTACACGCTCTCAGATTCTTATACAAAATGGTAAGTTGTGAGCTGTTGTTTGTGCTCAGTATGTGGGAACACAAGGAAAGCTTCTTCCTTGTTGTTCTTTCTCTTAGTCCATAGAATGATTTTGTGTACATAGTCCTTCATGTGTAACTGTGCGTATTTCACTTCATTCATATCTGTTAAATCCAGTCTGCTTATTGATTTTACTTATTCATTGCATTTCTATCCCATTTGCCCTGCGATGAGTGCAGAGGAGCACGTAAGCTCTCCTCCCCTCTTTGTCCTGACAACAGTCCTGTGAGCTAAATCAGGCTAAGAGGCTATGACTGACCCCTGATCTCCCTGTGAATTTCGTGGCACGTTGCATTTTGAACAAGCTGTTCCCAAAACACCAATTTTGAAAGTAAATTCTGTACTAGAAACAAATTTCCATTCACTATAGAAGATTTTTAATTACTTTTTTATGAATAAAGCAGTTGCATTATTCAGTAAAAAAAAATCATATTTAACCCTTTGGACTTCTCAGTTGTATTTCAAAGCATTTCCACCAGAAGCCTTAATTGGGCCAGGGTAAATTTACCTCCTCAGTATTCTGAAGGCAAGGACCAACACAAGTGACTTATCTAAAGCCGCCAATGAGATTAACAGCAGTGACAAAAGGACCAAGAGGCATTTATAGTTACAGTACACTGCTTCATACATTATTGACATTTTCCTGCCAAACCACAACTGCCCATTTCTTCTGTCAGTTTGAAATAAATAGCAAAGAAAATAAATAATGGGTTGTGCTTGCTTTTAGGCAGTGAGATTGACTGCGCTGACAAATATGGCAATACCCCCCTTCATGTTGCTGCTAGATATGGCCACGAGCTGCTAATTAGTACTTTGATGACGAATGGTGCTGATACTGCAAGGTGAGGACCTGTTTCTTAAGCTTGTGTTTTAGAGGAAAGATGACTACACATCCATGTTGAATTTTACATATGCTGTGTTACCACTCTTGGCACATATAAGCAGACTGAATGCTATGACAGATGGGTGTTTGGTTTTGGCCTTTTAAATGAAATAACCAACTGACCTTTGTTACCAGTTGCAGATGTATTATTTAGACATATGGTTCTTTGGAACTGCCTGATACAGAACCAAAAGGGGTAAACAGGGTTGATTTTACTGGCAGGGGCTAACAATCAAATCTGTTTCTTCCGACCCATGGGTTCACTGTGCATTTAGGAGGAACATATTTATTTGAGTGACTGATTGATTCATATACCACCCCATTAGTGCAGGCAGTACTCTGAGCAGTTCACAGGTTAAAACTTAAAATCCCATAAGGTCCCCCCATTATCAACATATTCATGCCTCTTTCTTTGTTCTGCCAGGCGTGGGATCCATGATATGTTCCCCTTGCACTTAGCTGTTCTCTTTGGATACTCAGACTGTTGTCGTAAGCTACTTTCCTCAGGTATGTAAACAACACATCCTTCCATTTTCTCTCCCTACCGCTATTAGATTGTTTTGCATCTACTATGGTGTAGAGTCATAACAATCTGGTCATTTTTGTACATGTACCTGAGCAGGCCATTGAGAAAACTTAAAGGACGGATATATGATATTGGCATCAAAACCTTGGACTGTTTTAACAATAAACATAAAATGGACATAACCGGAAACCTGTGACCTGTTTACACAACTGGCAAATGCCTGCTATGGAGGCCAGTGTGGCAGGAGAAATTTGAATAAGGGTGTTTGTTGAGGTCTTCCTCACTGCACAACAACTAATGCAGCTCAGAATGCCCACTGATTCTGAAGGCTTGCACTTTTAGGCATTTGTCTGCATTTATTCATATCAGTGTGCACTACTGGTATACATGTGTGTAAGGAGGCTGAGAGAGAGTTTTGGGTATCTGAATTCCATCCCAAATGGCAGACCTTCTACAGAATTTGTGGACAAAGTAAACTAAGCCTTCTTAAACCCCACTTAACATGCCATCTCCTCATTCACAGGTCAGTTGTACAGCATTGTCTCCTCACTCAGCAATGAGCACGTGCTGTCTGCAGGCTTTGATATCAATACGCCAGATAACCTCGGGAGGACCTGCCTCCATGCTGCTGCTTCCGGAGGGTGAGTAGTAAATTATCATGTCATTTTAACAAGGTACTGCTCAGCACTGACCTGTGTGATAATGTTTCCCCTTTACTCACTTCCTATCTTACTGCCTCCATTAATTTATAATACAAAAAAAAGGCAAGTTGATCATTTCTATTCAACATTTCTTGTGTGTGAGCAGGAATCATGCTGTAATCAAATTGAGGCTCTCCTTATCTACTGTATTTACAGAGCAAAGACATTGGGGTTCTCTGTTCTCTCTGCACTTCATAAGGCTGTGGGTTACTATTTGATCTCACAGACATCAGCAGGATTAGTTGGATTGCCTGTGCATAGCAATCATTGTTGGTCACTTTTTATAGTAATTCTGTCTCTTGGCATAAAGGTATAGTGTTGCTGGCAAGTGTGCTATCAGTAAAACACTTTGTCCTCAGGGTATAAGGATCTGTAACAGTACAGTGGTGCCTCGCTTGACAAGGATAATCCGTTCCAGCGAAATCGCTGTAGAGCGAAATCCTCGAGGCGAAATGAAAAAGCCCATTGAAATGCATAACCGGTTCAGAGTGAAATGAAAAAGCCCATTGAAATGCACAACCGATTCAGTGCGTTCCAATGGGTGAAATACCTCAGCGTCCAGCGAAGATCCTTCATAGGGCGGCTATTTTCTGATACCTGTGCAGCAAAAAATCCGGCGGCCATTTTCTGATGCCTGTGCAGCGAGAAATCAGTCTTGAACACAAAGGGGAGCCATTTTGAACAGCCGGCAGCCATTTTGAAAACCCGACAATCAGCTGTTTTGATCGTCGTAATGCAAAGAATCGTTTCCCGAAGCAGGGAACCGATCATCGCAAAGCGGATTTTTCCCATTAAAACATTGCAATAGCGATTGCAAAAACATCGTCGTGAAGCGGATTCGTCCTCAAGCGGGGTAATCATTAAGCGGGGCACCACTGTAATTACTTTGAACTTGAACTGACAGATCTGAAATTGCTTTGCTCACAAAGTATATAGACATTCAGGGATTCCTAGTTGACACTAAATGCAGGTCTTTTAGCAGTGCACCCATCATGCTGCCCAGTGGTACCATTCTGGATAGGACGTCCAGCCAAAAATGTTTATTCAGGCAAACCCAGTACTCTTGGTTAGTCATTGTTTCTTTATTGTTCAGTTGCAACTGAGTGTTTCCTTAATTTTCTGTTATCTCTTTGTAGGAATGTTGAATGTCTTAATTTGCTGTTGAGCAGCGGAGCTGACTTGAGGAGGAGAGATAAGTTTGGAAGGTAAATTTTGAACACTTTCCCTTGTCCATATGCAATAAAAAGAAGGGGGAGGAAGGCAGATCACTCTTAGTCCTATTAAATCCAGTGTTGCTTTTTCTGAAACCCCATAGCTGGAAGGAGCAGGAATTGATGAACATTGCTTTTTCTGTTTGTTGATGCAATGCAGTGATAACAAGGGCCACCAATGCACAAGGTGTGATATCAGCATTGGAAGTGGTGAGACCTGAGTTATCCTTGGTCATGGACTGCTAATCCTTGGTTCTCTGCCTCTTAAGTGATATTTACAGTACTGCCATTTGAAGGTTGTTGTGAGGATGAACACGAAAAAATGAAAGCACTTTTTATTACACCAGCATTACATTATAAACAAGAACTATATTTCAGCCTGTTAACAAGCTAGCCCTAGTTATATAAATAACTTCTTTTGACCTTGCATTGATTTAACTCATTTTTCTGTATTGTCCGGAAATGTCTCTTCTTGTATTCCAACTGTTAAGCAATCAGCAATGCCTCATGATTTCTTTCTTTCTTTTTTCCCCTTCCCTCCTAGGACTCCTTTGCACTACGCAGCCGCTAATGGCAGCTATCAGTGTACAGTGACGCTAGTCACTGCCGGAGCCAGTATTAACGAAGCTGACTGTAAAGGCTGCACCCCCTTACATTATGCTGCTGCTTCAGACACTTACAGGAGGTAGGAAAAAGGGGTGAAGGGGCTTTGCCTAGCACGGCAACAGTCAAGAGCAGTTAACCTTGCCATAAATACCCACAAAACAAATTGCCTCTGCCCCCCCCCCACCGTAGATCTGTGGACAGAGGATCAGTTTAGCACTAGATGTTCCATTAATGAATTTGAATAGACTTTCTGTTTTACTATTTAGAATGCTTTCTGAGACTTCCAGCTAGCTGAAGTAAATTGTGGTGAAGTTTTCAGAAACCAAAGTCTGAAAACGATCAGCATTTTGAAGCTCTTATTACCTTACTGCTTTTAGAACAGACTGAAGGCTTTTTAGAACACTTTTCCTAAGTGGTGTAGGACTGTCGAATAATGAAGTCTGAAATTGATCCAAAGCTTCTGACCCTTAGTACCAGATTTGTTATCAGATCAAAACTGGTAGGTGTAAATTTGTAAATGAAGCCTATAAAGAGACAATGGGGCCATTAGGCCTGATGATACTGGCTTTATTCTGATTACCAGATTATAATCTGTTGTTTTCACTGAACATGTGTACTAGTGCAGGATTTCTTGGAAACTATATGCTTTTTCATGAGGTCTGCCACCTCATCTATTAAAGTCTTAGCAAAACTGATCTATGTTTCTGCTGTTGCAGAGCCGAGACTCATTCAGGAAACAGCCATGACACTGATGAGGAGCCACTGAAGGAGTCACGACTGAAAGAGGCAATCTTGTGAGTAATTCATCTTGAATTCTCCTTGGCATTCAGCTGTAGGAGCTCAGTTATCTCCTTGTTCATTTTATCAGCCCGAGCAGCAGATTAACTTTTTACTTAATTGGTGTTTAGAGCCATGAACACAATATTGGCCCTTGTTTTGAGCCCTGTGTGGGGAACCTTTGGCTGTTCAGTAGTTGGGCAGGACCCTCTGCCATAGGTAATTTGGCAAAGTACCCTTTGCTGGATAGTGTTGATCCTTATGTCTCCTTGTGTTATTTACTTCTCTCGTCTTTAATTTGGAAGCTGATTATTTTTTTTTTTTTAAAAAAACACTTTAAAAATTGTTGGAATTGTTTCTTTATTTTTCTTACTTGTGCCTGGAACAATTCTTGAACAGATTTCTGGAAATAGCCCAGATGTCAGTGTGACCTGGAGATGGGTCTTAAATTACTATGCCAACATCTTACGTTTTAGGGAATGAGATGTCCTACTAGTGGAAGGGAGAACACAGGAATCTTTTTCCCCTTCTCAGCTGAAATCCCTGTGTTGGGTTGAAAACAATGTTTTATTATAAGTTTGCAGTAAGCTTATCTTATTCTGTTGCTAAAGGCCTATTGCAAAAGTAATGCATACTGTACCTACTTCTGGTTTTCACAATTTTCTGGCTGCCACTTCTCCATTAAATTGTGTAACTGGGCACATGCTTTATAGTACCACTGGAGGACTGTGGACCATATAATAAGACAGCTGACAAGCTGCCCTCATTGCTTGTTTGCTTGCTATTGTGTGGTTATGTAACACAATAGGATTCTGGCCACCCTGTTTTTGTAATTTTGCCCTGATGCAGAGCATTTCTTTCTTTAGCTGTTAAAAAAAGTGACTTGTATGGTATTGGCTGTGAGACATTTTTATAACAAAGCAAGGCAAGGGCTGTATTCATGTGGAGGAGGTTGTGGGGCTCCATATGTACATGCGGTTCAGTTTCTGACCTAATCAAAATGTTTTTGCTTCAGTTGTTTAGAGTTTTTACTGGATAATGGTGCTGACCCATCTCTCCGGGACAAGCAGGGCTACACTGCTGTCCATTACGCAGCTGCTTATGGCAACAGACAGAACCTTGAATTGGTAAGAGTTGAATGGGACTTGGTAGAATAGTCTTGAAATTTTGGAGGTAAGATCAAGCATTAGAAGACTCTGCAGATATTTCAAAGGGTAACACTCTGGATCCCAAGTCTATAGTAGAATTTTCCGTTTGCTAACTGAAAGACAGTCTTTGCCAAGTGCAGGGGCTACTGAGCACCTAGGTCCTTGTGCAATATTGAGAATTGTCCTGATGAGACACTTTATGTTGAGTTACAACAGCCAGAGGTTTAGTGGCTTAATAAGCCCCGAGGAGCCAGACACTAAGCTCCAAGAGCACAGACAGGCTTTATTAAATCAGCTTTCAAGTAAACTAATTTACACCATGGATCCGGATACACCTTTAGTGTCTGGCCAACGGACAATTCTTCATCACCTCTAGGGTCAGTGGATGGGATGAGAATCTTAGATATCACAGCCGTTTCAAATGTGACTCCTATCGTTGTTTAAATCAGGGTCCATTTTGGACCCTAAAGCGATATACCCATACCTTTATTAGGATCAACTACATACCAGAAAATAGCATATGCTTTTGATAGCTCCAGATGATTTTATCAAGGAAAAAAAAAACAGGTTTTGGGACTGGAGAAGTAAAAGAAAATCTAAAGCCTGACTTGATGTCAAAGTCATGACATTAGCATGGCTAAAGGTCTTAAGGTGATGTAGATGCTAACCTTGCAGACTTCTGGCTTTGACAGTGACCCACAGTTGTTATTTAATTTTCCCCTCCTCTGTCCCCAGTTCTGTTTTTCTATAATGTCTTGCTTGATGAAGAAATCTAAAGGTCTGAAAAGCCTATGAATTTGTTCCCAGAAAATTTATTGATTGACAGTGCATCAAGGAATCTTGTGTTGGGCCAGCAGAGTTTGAAATCTCTCTGATAGTCTTGGCCTTTTCCACTTGTCCTCTTCTCTTCTCCCTGAAACACCTCCCCTAGCTCTTCAGGGTGTCTCACACACACACACACCCAGGCTCCTTCCTCCTCACCACCATGAAGGCTCCTGCCTTCTCTTTCACTTGCCATCCAACCTGCTCCTGCCTCCTGTGGCATCTTTTTTATATCTCCCACTTCCCAAATAGTTTCCCCTACTTCCAGGGGGCTTTCTAAGTTGGGTGAGTCAGGCACACCTGCTGAGACGTCCCCTGCCCTTTCGGCTGGTGACGCCTTGGTTGGTGTTTTGCCGCCCTTAGCCCGTTGCTCCTCCTGCTCTGTCTCCCCTGCCAAGGTGGGCACCTTGTTCTCCCAGGGACCAGGCCTTTGGCTGGCCTGTCTGCCAGAGACACCCTCATCCCTGTTCCCGTCACAGTTGACAAAGTAATAAATTTCACTATTATGTTGGAAAAATGCCTTCCTGGTCAGGGCACAAGATTGTGGTTGTCAGGAAGAAATACTGTATTGCATACTTAAGCTGGTATCATATCAACCTGTTGTTCTGTTTGCTATTCCTGTGATGCCTTTGCGGCTTGCTGAAACACTCTTTTTTAGCTTAGAAAAAACAATAGAGATTCCTGGCACCCTTTTTCTTGGGGATTGCAAAAGCAAGAAGAATTGAAGCTTTTTTTATAGTTGGAGATGGTCATTGTGCTTGTTCAATTCCAGCTCCTGGAAATGTCGTTTAACTGTTTGGACGATGTGGAAAGCACCATTCCAGTCAGCCCTTTGCACTTAGCTGTAAGTATATCTGTCATAAACTTTGATTTGCGGTGTTTGAGGTGGCATGTATCTTTTAAAAACTATCGAGTTACTTTAGTTACCTTTTTTTAAATAGTGAGAAGAGAAAACCTAAAATCTAGCCAAACATGGGTATATTAAATTATGTGGAGTTCATTGATGCTGCAGTCCTATATGTGCATAATGAATATAACCCACTGAGCTTTATAAATTTAATTTTGAGTTAAATATGTTTTGGATTCTAACTGAAAAAGAATATTCAATATCTGCATGAAGCTGCTGAGTTGCCCAATGTTTTGGGGTTCAGTGTCACCAATATGCAGATGATATTCAGCTCTATCTCTCCTTGCCATCTGAATCTGAGGAAGCTGTTTCGGCTGTAGATCAGTGTCTGATGTCAGTAAACGACTGGATGAGGGTGAATAAACTGAAACTTAATCCAGACAATTCGTCTCTGAGCCTAAAAGCCCAAGTTTCAGCAATGACCAGGAGTGCCTTTGCACAGTTAAAACTAGTGTGCCAGCTGCACCTGTTCCTGGAGAGGTCTGGTCTGACCGTGGTGATGCATGCCTTAGTTACATTCTGACTGGATTACTGTAATGCACTCTATGTGGGGCTCCCTTCTTCAGAAAGTGTTTGGAAACTTCAGCAGGTCCAAAATGCAGCAGCCAGATTTCTGACTGGGGCTGGTCACAGGGATCACATAACCCCCTATTGTGTTACAGCAGCTCCCCTGGCTGCCCATCTGTCTCTGGGCAAAATTCAAAGTGCTGATTCTAACCTAAATGACTTGAGTCTCAGCTGTCGAAAGGACTGCATCTCCCTTTATGCTTTTTTGAGCCTGCACAAGTGTTAAGATCAACAAAAGTGGCCTTCCTCTTGGTTCCACCACTTTCACAGTTGTGTCTGATGGGGCCACAGGAGAGGGCCTTCTCTCTTGCCGCTCCCAGACTTTGGAACTTCCTCCCACAGGAGGCCAGGCTGCCCCTATCTCTGCTGTCCTTCCGCAAGCAGGTGAAGGCTGCTTGCCTGAGTGGGACTTGGTTATGGATGGTTGTGCCTTGGTGTTGCTTTTATTTACCATCTTTTAGTGTGATATTTTATCCTTTTTAGTAATTGTATGCTTACTGTTTTTGGCTTTAAATACTGTCTTTTAGTGATGGAAGCTGTCTTGGGTCCTTTTTAAAGAGAAAGGCAGGGTAAAAAATATTTTAAATAAAATAAACAATAAATAAATAAGCCTCACAAAACTAACTTAATATTGCTGTTGTGCCCAGGCCTATAACGGTCACTGTGAAGCCCTGAAGACGCTTGCCGAAACCCTGGTGAACCTAGATGTGCGGGACCACAAAGGGCGGACGGCTTTGTATCTTGCCACGGAGAGGGGCTCCACAGAGTGTGTGGAGGTGCTTACCAGCCATGGTGCTTCTGCTCTTGTGAAGGAGAAGAAAAAGAAGTGGACACCCCTCCATGCTGCAGGTAAGAGTGTGACACTTCCTCCAGTGCTGTTCCCAGGAGCACATCATGAGCCCTCACTGGCTTCTTGCAGAAATGGACATTTGAGAAAGTGCTACATATTCTGTGCATAATCTGTCTGTCTCTCCCCCCCTCCCCTTTTGGTCTTTCCTCTTGTGCTTCTTTTTAGCTGCCTATGGGAACACAGATTCCTTGCATCTTCTCATTGACAGTGGGGAAAGAGTCGACATCACGGATGTCATGGATATCCATGGACAGTGAGTTTCCGCTGCCTTTTATATGCGAGGCCTTCTGCCCGTTTGGGGGCAAGGCGTCCTTCCAATCCCATTTATGAGCAGGGCTGATAATTACTTGGTTCTCCAGGGGTGTCCTCACTGTGACGTAAATAATTGTTGAGAGGTGTCTGTGTCATGGACCCCTAGGAGCACATGACTAATCCATAGAAGGTTCTGAATTGGGATAGACGTCTGCATCTTGAAAGTCTTGTGCCTTATTCTGAACAGGTATTGGCCCAGATGATTATGAAAATACACTTTCAAGGGCTAGAAGGCGGTCAAGACTTTGAAGGGCCCTTCTTACCTCTCCTTGATCTAACAAAACTTGAAAAAATAATGGTAATTAGTAAAAAGAGAGGTAGGCATAGGCAGAGCTGCTTAACTTGCACAGTTGAAATTCAGATTGCTTAGCAGAGCTTCAGTTTAAAGAAGATACAGAATACATATAGCCCTGCCTCTCCTCTCTTGGAGCTGTCTAAGTATCCTTCAGATACGATGGATGGCAGCTTCCAACATGACCCTGCAGGGTGATAGCTTCAAACATCTGGAAGGCACTATACTAGAGAATGATGCTCTGTGAAGCAAATCCCTGGGAGATAATGCCTTGTTCCTTAATGTGAAAACAAGCACCACAGTAAAGGGCTTTGCCATTCTTTATTCACTAAAAGCTTTCTTATCCAACACTAACCATCGTATTCGTCCCTTTTCTACCAGTTAGTTTTCCTGTCTCTCCAGTAGTGGACAGCAGCTGAGTCCAACACTAACCATCGTGGTCGTCCCTTTTCTACCAGTTAGTTTTCCTGTCTCTCCAGTAGTGGAGGAGCCTTATTTTCATCTCTCCCCATTTTAAAACCTGCAAAGTGCCCAGAACGTACATTGTTACTTTACTCCTGGCTTTACAGCCCTCCTTGCTCTGACCTTTGAAGTTGTAAACCCCCCCCCAACCTACTGTTTAGAATCAAATGCCCTCCCGTTTTTGATTCTTTTCCTTGTTCTGAATCCCTAGGAGGCTCTGTCTGTTCTGCAGTTCTGTAAATATAGCAGTGGAGGTCCAAAACTCACTAGAATGTCATTGAGGCTGTTGGACGTATGGCGGGATGAGTTGTGCAGTACTTGAGCTCTTCTTGCTTTCTTCATAGAACCCCACTGATGTTGGCGATCATGAATGGCCACGTAGATTGTGTCCACCTCTTACTAGAGAAAGGATCCACAGTGGATGCAGCAGACAGGAGAGGCAGGACTGCACTGCACCGAGGGGTAAGTGGAACTAGAAGGTTTGAAGATTCAGATGCTGCCGAGCGTTCTCCAGATGCTAATTACCGTCCTTAGTTATTCTTCAGTCATTTATGTTGAAAATGACATTACATTCTGAGAATATTCCACGGTTCCAGCCAATCACTCTGTGCCACGAGTCCTTCACTGGACATTCCACATCTTCGTCTTCTTCATGTTGACCAAGTGATTCCTAAGGACGTGTTTGTAATACCTTCCTTGAATATTTGTGAGGAGCTTTGTATGCTAGACAAGAACAGCTCAAACTACAGGAAAAGAAATCCCATCTGAACATTAGGAAGAACTTCCTGACAGTCAGGTAGTGGAATAAGCTAACTCGAAGGGTGGTGGAGTCTCCTCCTTTGGAGGTTTTTAAGCAGAGTCTGGATGGCCATCTGTTGGGAGTACTTTGGTGGATGTTCCCGCATGGCGGGGGATTGGACTGGATGGCTTCTGTGGTCTCTTCCAACTCTGTGACTTTCTCATCAGCCTGTGTGGGAAGAGAGATTCATCAGAATAGGCTAAGGGAGCGAAGAGAGGTTACAGCCAGACCCTTTTGTTGCTTAAAGTCTGAAGATCTACTGTGTTGTGTGGATTATTGCTCCAAAAGAGAGCCTTCCCACACCAAAACAAAATGACACTTGCAGGTATGGTTTCGTGGACAATGTTTTTCTGCCCTTTTCATGTGCCTCAGTTGAAAATTTGCCTCAGTATCTTACACAAACGCCCCATTGCCACCCTCTCTCTGAAAGCCTTCCTTTCAGCTGTAACATCACTTGCTGGTTTATGCTCCTAGGCTGTGACTGGCTGTGAAGACTGCCTGGCAGCCCTGCTGGACCATGATGCCTTTGTATTATGTCGGGATTTCAAGGGCCGAACCCCGATCCATTTCGCCTCAGTCTGTGGGCATTCCGAAATCCTGAGGACCTTGCTGCAGGCAGCGCTCTCTACTGACCCTCTGGACTCTGTGGTGGACTATAGTGGCTATTCACCAATGCACTGGGCTTCTTACAGTGGTAAGAATTGCTGGGCTCCATGCACAGTTCCCATTGTCTTTGCCCATGGCAGAATCAACCGGTCCAGATAAATGGTTGTTTCGTAATCTCATGTCAGAAACATATGAGACTTAAATGCCACAATATGTAGGACAGGAGTTGCTTCTCTTAGTCATCTTGAGCATATTGATTTCAGCTGACAGCAGGGCAGAGTATTGGATGGCATCATAATCCCCAGGTGGCTAGAAAAATGTAGTTACCAGGACAGAATTTCCAGTTATCGTAGTGAAAGGCATAGGGCCAGACACTTAGTGGAGAACCAAACTTGCCAGATTTCCCCATTCCTCTTTATATTATCTCCTCTCAAACATTTTGGTCCTTAGTTGAAAAATTACAAATTGTTCAGCTAAGTTACAAAGAAATTTTTATTACCTGGTTTCATTTCCCCACTTCATGAGAGCAGTCCACCAAACTAAGATTGAGCACAAGCCTCTCTCTCTATAACATGCAAATGAAGAACTACATGGTTAAGTGATTAGAAATAAGCCAGGCTTCATAAGTCAAATTGGTTTAAAGCTGACTTCAACTCCTGACTTCTTCACAGGCATTTATTGTTACGTAGTCTTTGGTTCAGCTGTCGCAGGAAACAGTACTTAGGTTCAGAGTCTCAGCTTGTTCTGCAGCTCACAAATAAAGGAGTAAAATAGCTGGGGAAGGATCCTGCTTATTCAGTCAGACATTTGTCTTTCTATAATATGTGAATGGAGTCTAATGCAGTCTGGCATTGTTAAAACAAGTCTCAGGAACATATGGCCACCAGTTTCTCAGGTTTATGCCTATTTTGGTGCATTTAGCAGGCTTTGAGGGGCATGAAAAATATATCGGTTTGGGCAAAGGCATCGAGATGCTGCTTATAACAGTGTCACAGAAGTTAAAAGTAACGTGATGGTTTCTCTTATCTTTTTCTTCACTTTGCTAGGGCATGAAGATTGTCTTGAATTGTTACTTGAACACAATCCATTTGCATACCTAGAAGGAAACCCCTTTACTCCATTGCACTGTGCAGTGTAAGTTACTTTTGGTCCTTGGGATGTCTTGTGCACTCCTTTGTACGTGAGAGTGTATGTGTGTGTGCATAGACAAGGGGAATGTTAAATCTAATGCAGAAGTAGCCTTTTGATTTTGTAAGGAGAAGCTCCTTGGTGCCTTTCTGGACAAAACATGTTAACTGCATTGCTTCTTGTACTTTCTCCTGCCTACAGAATTAACAACCAGAATGGCACTGGTGAAATGCTTGTGGAAGCATTGGGTGCCAAGATTGTTAATAGCAGAGATGCCAAAGGAAGGTAAGTGAGGGAGCAGTCCCGTTCATTACCTCTAGGTGTCCTTTCTCCTTTTGGTAGCCATCTGACATGACCTTCCTGGGTCCATTTTTGTTAGGAAGGTTCATATCAAGAAACGGCAGAGAGAAATTGGTGAAGAGGAGGATTGTGCACTAATAGAGGAGAACTTGGAACAATCTGGGAAAGCTGAGCTGTGGGAGGTATCAGGACAGACAAAATGAACAACTTACTCAAAACTGGGACAGTCTAGCGTTGGAATTCAGCACCATAGGAGGTTGCAATAACCACCAGGATAGGTATCCTTAAAAGGAAGGTTGAGTTGTTTCCTGAAGGAAAAGGATGCCAGGAGTTGCTTGTTATGCTGGGCCTATGTCACCTGCAGGATCAAAGGGACGCTTGTTGTTGTAAAACTTGAGTGGGAGGGTCCTGTTTCACTCCTCTCTGGCTTGTTGGCTGCTCCCTGGCCAAACGGATAGGTGAGAGAGGGGATGCTAGTCTAGGTGGGCCTTTTAATCTGTTCTGGTAAGTGTGTTTTTAATGATGCCATGTGGTGCTTAAAACGGGACCTACTTTCTTAGGTGCACTTATGGTGTGGAAGGATTTGACTTATTTTTCTACTTTGCTGCTACCAGATTCTTAAGTTAGGAACAGATATTACAGGCCATGGGTGACTGCCATCCAACCAGTAGTTTAGCATTTCCTCCTTCCATCACCAGGTAATGTACAATAAAACAAAACCTGTGACATCATTAGATTTCTCCTTTTTCTGACCCTTTTAAGTGGCAACCCATTCAGTTGTGTGAGTGTGGAGACGTGGCATGTGGGGATGTGTTATATTGTGAATGTACTAAATAATGGTAAACAGAGATTGGAAGCTATGGTGCTGCTGTTTTGGGGCAGCCAGCCTCTTCTGTAATGTCTGCCTTCCAGCCTTTTTATTTATTTATTTAAAACAGTGAAAGGCTGCCTTCCAGGATAAAAGGCTCCCCTGTGTGGCTTCTCTAGTTCGGGTGATTAGGCAGCAGGGACTATCGGGCTTTTGTACAAATGAAGGGGTTCGTAGAATTGCTTCCAGGCTAGTGTCCACTCCGAGGAATTGCATGGTTGGTCATAGACAGTTTGACAGGCACTGTCCAAAACTCTGTTATGAGATTTGTATAGGTATGTATTATGCCCAGCACTTAAGATTGCAGTGCCTTAGGGTGCGCCCTTCATGAGGAGAAAGTCATGTCCTCTTCCCATCGGAGTGTTGGGAAATTGTGACAGCCCTCAGATAAAAGAAACTCCTTCAAGGATTTAGAAAGTCTCCTTGCAGTCCTGAGCAAAAGGTTTTAATTAATATTTATAGATTTCAAAAGCATACAGTGTGCATTTTAGCTAAAAGTGTTTCCCGTTTTCATTCCAGGACCCCCCTTCACGCTGCTGCCTTTGCAGACAACATCCATGGTTTACAACTGCTTTTGCGCCACCAGGCTGAGGTAGATGCAACTGACCAACTGGGAAGGACCCCTCTTATGATGGCGGCTGAGAATGGCCAGATGGCAGCAGTTGGTATGTCATGAACCGACCTTTGTATCTGTCTCCTCTCTCCCCAGCCCCGCCAGATTCTCTTGTTTTGAAGGTATGGTTTCTTTGTCACAGTCTTGAAAATGCTATAAAAGAGAGCAGAAAATGCTGGAAAAAGTTTTGAAATCCAGATGGTAGGAGATGGGTGGTGAGACTTGTATTTGGCTAAGCTTCCTCTTGCCCAACCCATTTCCTATTGTTACTGGCTGGGTTGTTTGTTTTTGTGGTTTATATTCATGTCTTTGAATTATTTCCAGCAGGTTTTCTTTAGTTTAAAAGTGTGAACAGAAAGATAATGTTATCTGTACAGGTTCTGTTTAGGCCATGGGTGGAGAAATGTGATTCTCCTTTCAATTTTAGCTTATCAGCTACAACTAGCATAACTGATGGGGCAAAATTATGAGAATTGCCACTCAGAAGCATCTAGAAGGCCACACTTGCCTGCTGTTCTTTATATGTAGTTTCATTTTCTCTTCTGAAAACTCTGAGATGTTTCCTAGGCAGAAATCAAGATTAACCCTTGAGCTCACATGGTCTGTCTCCCATTCCACTCAACCAGAAATGACTCAAGGTAGTTTCCTGGAACAAAGGATCCAGATATTTTCCTCCAACTCTATGGTGGAAGAAGTATTGTTAGTTTCCATTCATGCTTCACACTTCTGTTACGTGATATGGTTTACCTCATTCTGTCTCATTGTAAGGCCCAGCTTACAATGCTTTTGGTGTGAGAAGAGATGAATAGTGCAACCGAGCAGGTCTTCAATTACTTGAGTGCAAAATCACCTCAGATTTTAGGTGGTGAATGGGGAGAAAGAGAAACAGGATGCTAAGTTCAGATCCTTGTTCATCCTTTGGAAATGTCTGCTCAGTACCATGGTCTAGTTATATCTTTCTTTTCAAGACAAATATTAGCAACCTAATTATGCAAGTCGTTCATGAGGGGTAAAGTTGATTGAAGTGTGCTTTCATCTTCAGCATGTCACAAAAATCTTATTTCCCCCCCCCATGTTGTAACAGGTAAAATTAACGAAGTGGCACAATTAAGGTCTTTTGAGGAATAAGTGCATTTCCCCCCCTCAAAAAAACAGAGGCAGAAAGGATTCCTGTCACAAGACAGTGCAATGATGGTGTTCTGTATATTTTATGAAAGCCTAATGGAAAAGGCCTAAGAAGCTTAGATTCTCCTGCCAACCTAAACTGGACCATTTTAAAGATGATGCTTAAACTTAGAAATGTATTTTCCTTTGCTTTTTGCCTTAGAACTAAACACAAAAGTTCTGATTCAGAAAAGAATGTTTGAAGCTTGCCTTCCTGCATGTGTGTCTGTCTGTGTGTGTGAGAGAGAGATTGCTTAGTTGTTAAACTGAATGTCTGCTCCATTTAGTTTTGCTGCCTATTTGATTTTTTTGAAAAATTAACTTTTTTGAAATGCTTCTGTTGCAAAAGACAGGATTTAGCTACTTTAAGTAGTAAATTAGGTGGCAGTTTGTTCTACCTCTCACTTTGCTTCTGTACCTGTTTTCAGAGTTTCTGCTTTATAGAGCGAAAGCTGATCTAACTGTGCTGGATGTCAACAAGAACACAGCTCTTCACCTGGCCTGCAGTAAGGTAGTGTATCTGAAGATGAAACTGTGCAGGAGAGATTTTTTTTCAGTGTCTACCTTTTGTGTTTCTCTCAAATGTAACATTGGGAAGGATCCTGTACCATTTGGATTGAAAAATTGAGTTATCAGGCAAGGCCTGCTTATCTTCATCTCAGACAAATCTAAATTCTTCCTTTTGAACAATTACTGAGATCAATAAGTTGGTTAATTGTGATTGGTTCATATTTCCCTCCAGTTGATGTTTGTTGGCAAAGAGCATTGTGAGGTTATAGATTTACATGAATTGAAGACGATAACTGCAGAAGCCTCCTTTGTCATCATCTGATACTTAAGTGAACAGTTTTTAAAATATGTGAGCAGTGTCTGCATAGAGAAGTAAAGTTTCCACAAAACTTTCGATTTTTTCTGGGGGAAAAAACATGAGCTTTTCCCTGTTTTTTTCCTGGGGAAAAAGGTAATTTTTGGAAATTTTTCATCTCTGTGTCTGTGTGACTATAAGGACTTCAAACTGGAAGCAAAGATTGTGATAAACTCAAAGCTAAAGCTTTCTGAATCTAAATTCTATGCCAAATAAGACCTCTTGATGAATTTTTTTAATCAGGCACAATCTTTTTCCATCCACCTTTCTTTTCCCTACCTGCCTTGGGATTTGCATTTTACCTGGGTGTTGCAAAGAACTGAATCAGTTTAAAGTTGTTTCATCTTCATGGTCTCTGTGAATGCACACTAATGGGTTTAAATCGGAATAAGCTTTATGATACGTTTGTCAAGGACCGCCCCCCCAGCACACGTAGTCCCCCCGTCCTGCCAATTACTTCAGTTCCTTTTTGCCGCCACTGAGGTCTCTCCTCTAGTTGAGCTCTGTTCGTCATTATTTGTTTAATCTGAGGAAAATTGGAAAAGACTTTCCGAGTGATTCTTCCCAGCTTCTATACAATGAAAGGAAAATTGTAAGAGACTTTTCGAGCATTTTTTTTTCTATCACCCTCCCCATTTTTCCTCCTCTCTGCCATTTATGGCCCCTCTTCCCCCACTTAAAAGGTGTGCTTCATGCTCCAGCAAAGTTCTCCTCAGAGTTGGTCACAATCTCTGTCTTTTTTGCCTGGGAGAGTCTCACCAGCTTTCTATTTGTCAGTTCTGCAAGAACTTCACTAAACAAGCCCTTAAACTCAGACAACAGCGTCTCAGCTCATTCCTCTGGGAACGTTTCTTGCTACCAGCTCAGACTATGGAACCATCCCAAACATCTCAGTCCCCTGAAGAATCTCCGGGTGCAGCTCTGACAGTTAAGTTGCTTTCCAAGACCAAACCGAAATCAAAGTCTAAATCTTCCAGTTCAGCAAAGTCCACCCCGGTACCAACCCCCCCTTCAGTATTGGAACACTGCAAATAAAAACAAAAACCCGAAAAAGTCTTCCACCGATTCTCATCAATCCAGACACAGGCCAATCCTGGACTTGAGACCACTACAAGACCAACCTACAGTTTGCCTTGATTCTCCAGAAGAGACCGTTCTTCCTCCTTCTGGTCAACCACCATCTCCGCTACTGGCACAGTCTCCATCTCCTGTGCTCACTTCAGCTGATGTTACCATCCTTCCTCAATCAGCACAGTTGAGCCCCAAATCCATGGGTTGCTCCATCTCTATTGGCAATTCCAAGTCACTGTATCCCATACCCGACATATCACCACGCAAGCAGTTAAGAAAGATGTGTCAGAGACGTGCCATTCTGATGCCGAGCCTGTACGACCCATGACTCTAGTTGGGTCTCTGGCATCTCGAGAGCCACCTACTCGATACTGCTACCCAAAACAGGTCACACTTTATGAGCCTCCACGGTATTATGAGCCTTCTCTTAAGCACTCTCAACAATGAGCATATCAGTATTACCAACCCGAGCTTGACTTCTA